TAAACCAAAAATACAGGTAAATGATCACTAATATCATTTATAAGTAATCCACTAGACATTTTGCTATCAGTATCATTAGTAAATATATTATCTATTAGTGTTGCATGCTGGGTTGTTAATCTACTTGGTTTTGTAATTTTTGGGTATAAACTGCATCTATATATTGTGTTAATAAACTCCTCCGTTCCTGTGTGCTTGTTAGGATTCAACAAATCTATATTAAAGTCACCACATATGAACATTAATTTATGACTTATTGTCAAGTAATTTTCTTCCATCCAGTCATTAAATTTTTCTATGCTGGCTCCAGGTGCTCTATAAATACAGCTTATTACAACATTTTTCTTTTTTTCCAAAAGTATTTCTACAGTCACACATTCCAGTAAATTATCGACTACCCTAGACATTTTGTCTACTTTCTTATAACAAAAGTTTTTATCTATGTACAAGGCCACACCACCTCCCATCTTATTCTCTCTGTTTGTGCATACCAAGTCATAACCATCAAGGTCAAAATCTTAATGCCCAACTAAGTGTATTTCACCACCCAATTGAATTATAATACTTTATGTCTGAGCAAACTATGCAATCTGTGATTATTAACTACAGAACAATTTCCCCTCGCTATTTCATCTGCACCGAGCATTGATTCGTTCAGCCGCTCCTTGCCTCGCTCTCTCTCTCCTACACACACAGACGACAGACCATCTGTAAACAGCTCCTCCTCTCTGTGTCTTTGTTTTTTCACAAAAGTGTCAATTGAGGAGATCCAAGTCTTCTAATAAATTATTACCATGATAATAAGGATAGCTAGGCCAATGTTAGAATCACTTACAGCTGTTGCCAAGGTTGGCATGCTGTTTATTATAGCTGTTCACTGATCTGAAAGTGGAAAATGTTAACGCCAAAGGACTTGTCCTGAGGAGGCACAGACAGTCTGGACCAGTTAACAATAGAAATGTGAGGAAAAACACATGTGGGACAACTGAATTGGTCTGACCAGTGTTGCAATTAATTTGTTTCAAATATTTCCAAGCTTTGCCAGTGCTGCTGAAGTAGCGAGAGAGGATCAGTAGGGAGAGAAAGAGATGTAGGACAGGGGGACAGCAGGCAACATGCTGCTGTGGGAGAGCCAGCTAGTGCAAAAGCTACAAGAAGGAAGGATAGCTACAGAAATACAGTATTACTGTATTTAATAAATCAATTTAAAGAGGACGTGTGCCATGTGACTCTGCTGGTTTAGTAGGATGTTATCAAGTGACGGAGATGATGTAAAAATAATTAGCATTTTTGAAAAAGGTTGGCTCTTCTCAAATGAATCTCTTCCTACACTAGGAAAACCATTTGACTAATGCCACCTATGATTCTGTGCTTTTCTATGCGACACTCACCTACAGGAATAACATCATGGCCTGCCTGCCCCTCCATCTCCTCTGTCTCCATCTCTGCTTCATCCAACATGGACAATTCCTCTTCAAACTGTGATGGACTGTCCTCCCATTCACCAGCCGTTCTGACCCGTTTGGCCTGGGACACACCACCCTTAAACGGGCCACCATTGCGTCTTTTAAAATCCATGCCTGCAAGAAACATTTAGGCAGAAGGCATGTTAGGAAAGTTAGGAAGAAACCTGAAGCAGGCAGAGCTGGATGCTCACATACCAATAAACACTTAGTAGTAATATAATCAGAATTAGGCAGAACTGTCAAAATAACCAATTTCTGTCACAGTACTTCAAGAACTATCATCTGCAAAAAAGAAAACATTTTAACAGACAGCCAAGATATTAGCAGTATATTAATATGAGTAGTATAGATATGAGAGCTTAGACTGAACAGAAAATAAACAATGATTTGACTACACTTGTGTTAATACTCCTTATATCGTCAGAGTACATTTGGGATGTAGTGCAGATGCTTACAAACTGCGTAGGTTATGGTGGGTTTACTGCAAATAATAAAATAAGCAATTTACATTGTTAAAGTTAATGGCACTGTAAACAGCATAACAAAAGAATACAGAGCGTGCAGACGCTCAAAGGGCAGGAAAACAGTGGCACAGAATACAGCTGATATATTAATATATGCTTAGCCTGAAAAATGTAATAAACTGGATGTCATGTGGCTGGTAATACTAAACATAAAGTAATCCGTGAGAAATGTAACAAGTATGGATGCTGCTGAACTCCTTCAAACGTGAAACAACACTATAAAATTACACTTAGCTACGCTGCGTCTTCCCAAGCGTCTCAATGCTATTTCATTTACGTGCAGTCATGGCTAATGCTGTTTAGCAACATATCCACGTGTTGATAGTGTACTTCGATACCCAGCATTTCTCTGTAAGATATCAATATTCTAGTGGCGAAGTGTAACGTTATGAAACTATTTTCCGGTCAAACCAAGACAGCTGCTTTCTTTTGCAACGAACAATAGCAGCAAGCTAGCACGCCCGAGTGTAAACAGATAACAATATCGCGCCAACATGTTACTAAACTGTAGGACAGTTATTCCTGTAAACCGGCCCAGAGAGTATTTTCATTTGCCGGTGTGCTTCTTATGGAGTTATAAATACCTGGTTATTCACTTGACAGCAACCCCCAGTTCACAACAGCTCCCGCCAATCTTCAAGTTGCGAACTTTCACCGATGATAGCGCGGAAAATTTCCGTGTTTCGTTACTAGGCGAAGAAGTAAAGTAATTGACAATGACGTCAGGAACAAGGCGGAACTCAGTTGTAATGAATAGGAAGTTGAACGCGCCTGTACGAATGGGCAACACCTAGTCTATTAAAAATACCGTGTGTTCCCGGCAAAATCACGTTAGAATTTACGGAGCAGAGAGGACGGGAAGCTCAGCTCCATTATGGGAAAATGTTTTATTTTATTTTTATATTAACAATATCCACGATCAACAGTTTGCCCATACGAAACAATTTTTCTTAAGCCTAACAGACAGATAGATAGATAGACAGACAGACAGACCCAGGCGGTCTGACAAAGATCAAGATCTCTTTCAAGGGGCTTAAGAACAAATTACATAGACTATATACAGTACAAGATCACAAGACAGAATGAATAGCTTTTAAAAATGTCAGCCAGTAAACTTTAAAGTACTTCAGTGTGCCTATAACTTCAGTTTTAGAGCTGCATTGTCAATTAATATATTGGTCAAACAACAGATAAATTGGAAAATAATCAAGTATTTAATCATTTTGATAAATTATCAAGCAAAAATATTAAATATTTGATATTAAGTCCTTATGTATGAGAATGTTCTTTTTCCTTGTCTTACGTGATAGTAAATTGAATATGGATTTTGGCTTTCTGTCAAATAATGGGTGTACAAAACATCTAATGATATGATTTTTCACAGTTTTTGAATAATTTATTAACCAAACGATTAATCAGTTAACTGAGAAAATAATCAGCACATACAAAAAAACAGTCTTGCCTTGTTTGCAATTAAATGTGTGAAATAAACCCAGCAATTTAGACACAAAGGTGTTATAAATTAAAACACAGGTGTGCTGTCTCGCAGTGATGACAGCCATCTGATCTTTTTTACTCACCACTTTTGTTGGGTAGTTGAGCCTTTGCTACCTTCTGTCATGTCCTCCAGACACACATAGCCTACACAGTGAGGTAAAATGTCACTCTGCTACAGGCCAACACTTATGAGGCTGGTACAAGGATAGTGCTGTGCTCATTGACACTCAAGCTGGGCCTGATTCTTCTTGGACTCAAGGGTCTGAGATACTGACACTGTAGCCACAGGGCCACTAATTTATTTTCAGCAGTTTGACCCTCACTATTTGGCCAGAGTGATAATAACGGTGGGATTAGACAGATAGCAGATAGTGGAAAATAGTAATAAGGTTACTATATGATGAATCACAGAAATACAGTAGAGGGGTTGGGTGTCTTTATGTGACACCTGTCATGCTGTACTCTCCAAGCTATGTTTCACATGACCCTTAAAAGTCATTATATTATAAATAACCCTTTTGCTCTTCTCCCTCTTCACAAGGAAAAAAATAAAAAGTTGCTCAGATGCACATGACTTCCTTCTTTTGTAAAGATGAAACCATACCTCACCAACCACAGCAACGCCCTTAAGCCTTCGCTCATCCAATTGCGTCTCTTAGCTGAAGAAACTCTCCTAGTTCCCGTCCCGTTGTGTATGGAGGCGGTGACAGAGAAGAGACTGAAGCCAATGGGAGTGGAGCTCATAAATAATGTGTAGGCAGAGCCCACACATTCACCAGCCCTTCTTCCTGCTCTACATGGATGTCCTGTCCTTCAACCTGACAGCAACAGCACCAAACCAATGTGAATCGCTGTCATTTAAAGAGGACGCGCCGCCCATTTTCCTGCTCTCTTGCTCTATTTCTTTTATTGGATCGACCGCGACAGCTGTCAATGTGTAGTTCATCATCGTGAAGTTTAGAGAAAACCGAAGGGTGAGTAGAAATCTGTGTTTTATTCTCCACAGTGGCAGTAGTCGAGTGCTTCCTCCATTTGCCCTGGTGCGCGTCAAGACGCTCTGTCCGTTGCGCGTTTCCGCAGCCGGATTGCAGTAGGTGCTTGATGTCACGTTCGTCCTGCAACTCACGAAAAGACACAAATGTTGCATACAGCAGACGGGAGGTCTTCTGTGGGGTTATGGCACTGGTATCGCCTTTGGATGAGAGGCCGCTCCCTGAGATGGGGGTGCACCATAGCCTGATTTCTTGTCCTCTAACGACCTGTAGGCCCCGCACACCCTGCAAATTTAAATATTCACAAAAGCAGACAAGGTCATTAAGGTGACTAATGTGACTGTATGTCATTGTCAGTAGGTCACTGTAAAGCATCCATAAGATGGTGTCACAAGCTGCTGAGGGAGGGTCCCCGAGGAAATGACCAGCACTGTGGTGTTTCATTTCTAAGTCCGTAAGGGTGGTGGTTTGTCCACGTTTTCTTCTCCTACACAGAATATCTAACCATACAACTCTGGCCAGAGGCAGTGCACTGGTACAAACCTTTACAGTCCCACTACTCTCAAAAATATGGTTTGCTTGTGGTTACATCAGCGGGATGTTGGAGTAGATGACATTCGGTGTCTGAAGGGGAAATGGTTTTCTGTTTACTTTAAATCATAGTTTAAAACGTGTGAGCAGGATATTATGGCATTGCAACTAGTCTGGATTCAATTGTGATCCAGTATACAGAATACACAAATATGATGTGGAAGCTTGAAACCTCCAGAGTGCTTGCTTAGAAATGAAAAAGATTTCCATATTCACTGGTTTTAGATTTTTCAATTAGAGAGGAGTAGATGTAGATCACTTAACAGCTGGACCAAGTTTACGCATGATCACTTCTCTTGTCTGTGACTTCTTCCACCTATGCATCCTTTCTCAGGTGTCTTCCTTAGAAGGTTGCACCATTTGTAATGGGAGGAACTGACCACAAAGTTGTAGTTTCACTCTTACACTCAGTAAAGTATTGCACTCCTCTCCTAACTATGCTTTGTAGATGTGTTGACTATTGACTAGGAGTCTTAGCCCTTACAGGGCACATAGTAAAGGAAGATTACTTGTTCTTACAGGGCAAAATTGAGGATTTTCTATACACCTCATGTAGTCCTGTGAAATGCATGTCTGTACATGTGTGTTATGTAGGAGGGGAGGCACAAGATGTTCTTTAACCATGTCAGACTGTATACAGAGCAAATATTGTACATAAACACATGTATGTTGGATCCCTGTTCCTCGCTGCTCTACCTCGTTGTCTGTTTGACTAGGGTTTCCAATAAGAACAGCCAAAGGTTAAGTTATTAAGTTACCAGAAAAATGTTTATCTACCATTTTGAGTGTTCCATTGAAGAGAATGAGTATTTTTAAAGAATTGAGAAAGGTTGTGTCACAATAGTATAATGTGTAGAAGTTATGAAATAGGGCGAGTGGTTGATGACATAATAGGTTCTTGTAGATGTGTGAGGAAATGACTATTAAGAAAAAGTTGTATTGTTTAAAAATCTGCCATTTGCACTTTGGGTTCATCTGGAAGGCTACTGTTATTTAGAAACTGTACACAAATAATTCAGAAAAAAAACTTAAAATGCTTCAGTCACTTTTGTCACAAGCAAATGGTTTAAAGTTAGTGTCCCGATAGTAAATGTAAGAAATATTTTTTATCCTGTTGCTGTTACGATTGAATTTGGTTGTAATATAATAGTCTAGTTTTCAAATGTGAATTTCTTTCACCACAAGAGACTTTTGCAAGGAAGTAAATAAGTTTAACAAGTGACAATGGACATCATCCAAGGTCATGTATTGTGTATATGCAGGTCATGTCTCCACTGAGTGTGTTCTGTGTTTACCCAGCATGCCACTGGTTCGCAGCGTGTCTGTCACGTCCCTCTCAGGACTGGAGGAGTGGGACGAGGAATTTGATTTGGAGGATGCTGTTCTTTTTGAAATTGCCTGGGAGGTCGCTAACAAAGGCAAGTGTCTGATGTGTTTGTATGTGTGTGCACTTCCTCTTGAAAGTTTTTGTATATACAGTGGGTACGGAAAGTATTCAGA